TTTTTTTCAGTGTAGGATATTATTAGATTACTCAACTTTTCTTTAATGTTCTTTCATTGCTAAGGTACCCAAAATGCAAAAAAACCCGAATGCGTTAACTAGAAATTAAATGGCGAAAAAGTAAAGAAGTTGAGGTGGTAACGTGGGCCACCACCATGCTTCAAAGGGTTAAATGTTACACGCTTCCTCTAATTTTCCGTTGTAGTTTTACTTCTTTAATCAAAATAGATACGTGAAGATTTTGTTATACGATTATATGATCGCGTTACGTAACTTTAATTGTGCAGTAGTTCGTCGCTCTAATTATTTCGCCTGACATTTTTACATCGCGACGAAATTAATCCGCGACGACGTATCCGCATAGTTCATCGCGGAAGCGTTTGTTAATGCCATCGCCGATATCCGTCATAGTTTTCGAGTTTCCGCGACGCGCAGAAGCGCCGCCGTATACATTTTGATGACGTGCGAAGAGCATTAAAAATATCAAAGCGAGCGCGGCGGTGGGGAATTTCGCTGTGCGCGCGGGAGAGCCGAGGCTCGCGAGATCGCGGCAAAGAAAGATTTCGAGGGCGGCGGCCGCGGAGGTCAAGTAACCCCCGGGAGGATCCGCGGCCGGTAACCGAGGGGGTTTCGCGCGGCGCGGCCGGGTGTTCAAAGGCTTTCGTTAAATCGTACTTAAAAGTTAAAGGCCACTGCGTACGCCTAGTCGCATACGGAGGTCGTCGGGTGGGAAGAGAGGAGGAAACCACGGGTGGAGAGGGGCGACGGGTGAGAAACGCGCGGCGGGTACCCGTGAAAGCAGAACTTCCAGATGATCAAAGAGCGTTAAAAGAGGATTGGGATGCGTCGGCCGCTACTCGTCTTACGGCGCGTCTGTGTACACGCGCGAGCGTGCGTGCGTGCATGCGTGCGCGCGGGCGTGTACGTGCGCGCGTGCGTGTGGTAAGAAGGAATTAATGTACAGGACATTCGCCCCTGTTGTTGTTGATGACGATGACGCATGCGATAGCCTCCCTCTTTATTCGGATCGCGAATATAAGATTTATTTTTTGTTGTTCATTACTGTCCTTATACGTTTCTTGTGTGGCGATTCAGCTTCATTTGGTCACGGAGAGAAGTTTCTTTTCATTTCTCCTGAAAATCCTGGGACACAGCGTTTCGAAGAATTTTATTCAAGTTTTTTGAAATTTTACCATACGTTTCACTAGTAAATTATGGTGAAATTTGAAAAAACTCTCATAAACTTTTTCAAAATCCCTCGTTCTCTTTTATCGAATTTGCCTCAATTTATTTTTACATAGATAACTATTGAGCTTCGATTGCTTTAATCGCTGGATACACGTGGGTATTTAATGATTGGTTAAGTTGGAGTTTTTAATAGAATTTCAAGTAAAATACGACGATTACGTAAGACAATTATAAAATAAAAATAATAACTTTAAATGCTTATCTGAAAAAAATTATAATTATATATATGTTGCTTTATATAACTGTAAAAGAACGAGACGTCGATGCAGACTTTCGCGACAATTTATAAAGTACTTATATGTATAATTCCATATTTCTGCTCAACAGGATCGCGCTCTTAACGCTACCGATTGAAAACGTATCGAAAAATTAGGCGAAATTACGATCTAACAGAATGGCGAGACACGCTCGTGCAAAGTGAACTCGACTCACCTGCAACGCTGTCTTCATCTTGACCGATACACCCTCGTATGCTAATTAGTACGGCTGGCTGTTGACGCAACGAATCTTCGTATCTTCATTCACACGCGATCACCGCAGTTCATGCCGGTCACCCTCAATCCGTGCGCGTGCAACAGCGCGAATCTAATTTCACGCGGATCATCTTAGTCCCTCGCATCGGAGATTCACGCCAAAGTCAACGCGACAGCACTGCGTTTCTCCATTCGTACGGTCGGCGCGACACGAAACTCGCGGAGGTCCGCGAAAGTCCCTCGATTAAATTGCCGCGCGCAGCGACGAGCCCGATATTTAAGCAGGGGGCTGAAGGTGTCTCCCGGGGAGAGTCACGTGGTGGCGGCACGCATCTGAACGCGCGTGCACCAATTTCGCTCTCTTCCTCAGCGTCCCGCCTGACGGTTCGGAGCGCACTGCCGTCACTTTTCGCCTCGACCGCTTCCTTTTCTTCTTCTCTCCTTCTTCACTCCTTCCGCCGATGCACCCTTCTTCTTCCAGAGGCACGAGGGGCCGGGTACGCGCACGTGCCGGGCACGATCGACGAAGTAATAGCGACTCTGACACCTCCTCTTCTTCTCGCCCGATTTTTCTTCCTCCTCCTCCTCCTCCTCCTCCTCCTCCTCCTCTTCCTCTCCTCCCCTCGAGCGCGCGTTCGCCCGTTTCGAATTTCAGAGCACCCCTTCAAATTCGCATTTCTCACGTCGACTTACGCGCCTAGAGATTTTAGGTCATTGTCGTTCGAGGACATAATTTTTTCAGCTCGACGGAATGTATCCTGGCAGGACAATGTGATCGCAGTCGGGATGATTCGATTGAAACGTAGATGAGCACTCGAGCACGCTTTCACTTGATATCTTGTGACACGAGAGATCGTGCGGTACTGCTGTACCTTGCTCTTTGCACTATCAGAGTCGGGAACCGACTGACAATCGGGCCAGTTCAAACCGTGCGAAGTAACCAGTAAGAGCACACCGGCGAGAGGGGTAGGGAAGTGCAAGAAAGAGAGAGAGCCAGAAAGAGAGAGCAAGTGAAACGGAGCGAGGTCTAGGGTGGTGGAGAGAGGAGCGTTGTTCTCTCGCTATCACGTGCGGGGTTGTTTTGACTGCTACGAGGTCTGGCGAAGATTATGGTCGCTTCAGTATCGATTCAGCCAGGTGCCTTTTTAGATTGTGATTTTCTTACTTCACTTGCGCGAAAAGACGCGACGTATTTCTCGTGACACAATTTAAAAAATGATACGTAGATCGATATACCTCGGGCACGCAGTTTGATTAAATGGCAATTTTAATTAATCTAAAAACACGATTCTCCTTTATGCCAAAAGTACGAGTCTTCGTTATTTGACTTAACAATATACGGGTTCAATACAAATCTTCGTAATTGATACACGATTTATTGATTATCCAGTACGACATTGCAAATTTAATTAGTAAAATCATTCATTAAACATGCAATTAAATATGCAGCATTTCACGTATTCGTTAATATGAAACCACGGAGAGATAGCGATAATATGATAATAAAAAGAAAAATATACCGCGCGATACCGAAATATGTTCCAATGCCCTGAAAAGTTAATACCTGTAATAAAATGATTAAAAATGTTACCGGATATTTGTAATTAACAGAACAATTATACAATCCGACTACTAGAATTATCCACATTGTTTCCTACTCCACGAAAATTAATATACCAGCATGAAGCATGACCAGCTCTCTCTCTCTCTTATTGTTACACAAAGAAGATCGATAAATGCTATAAATGAGTCCATTTGCTGCGGTTTGTGATTTCTGGATTTCTATTAATGGGACGCAATTACATTTCAATATTTGATCTTTGCCCTATAGTCGATTTGATTGAAATAATTGCGATCGATAATAAGCTCGATGATAACATCGTGTCCCGTTTTCCGGGCACGCATTTTGCACAGTCTTGAATTAATTTGCGATTCGTTTATCGTCACCAGAGAAGTTATTATACGGGATATTGTTGACGGCGCGTTGCGCGGCATCGCATAATGCGCAGAATATTACAGCGGTAAATTGCTAAGCTGCGGTGTAACCCGTTAGAGACACTTTTTTCGTATAATTGCGGTTTATAAACGTTTTTATGGTTTATTTTATCGCATATCGGACATTCTATTCAATTAATAAATGACACACTGGCCATTGGATATGGTCCACGCGCATTTGTCGATTTTTTTTCATACTCGCTTCTCTCGCTAATTGAAACTTAAATTTACAATTTTACCCGGTGATGCGAGCACCACAGTTCGCAGTATTGAAGGAACATCGATCGAGTGGATTCATTTTTTATATTCACAATCAGTATAGAAAGCAGCAATTCTCTCTGGCATTTTATTACAAATATATTTACACTACAATAAACAAGAAATTAACGATGTTGCCTATCGTAAATAGAAAACAATTAATAATTACTCTTCACGTATTTTGATTTTCGCAAAAACGAATACGTGGAAAAGTTGACAAGGTACGTCTAATCTTTTTGCAACGAGCAATTATTTGCCAAGACGTTTACCAAGCAGACGACGATGCAAACTTGAAACTAATAAATCCCTCGGGTCTTTCTACAGTCACATTGTCAAAGATGGAAAGAGGATACTCTGATAAATGTAACAGACTATTTAAATCTATCTGTCGCCGCGGTTTCCCCGATTTGCCCGCGTGCTCGCGTCCAGAGGTTCAATTACATTCCTATTTCGCCACAATTAATTTTCGACGCGCCCCGGTAATTAACAGTCTAATTCGTGCAATTCGCTGCGAAGCGGCTGGTTTTCCTCCGAGCGCTAGAGACGGCCGCCGCAAATAGCCGTGGTGCATCCGTAACGCTGTCATCGCCGGCGTTGTTTGTCCCGAACGTCGTCGACGAAAGATCAAAGCTCGGGGTATTCGAGGTCGCCGACAAAGGCGGCCGACGACAGCAGGTGCCCTTTTTGAACGCTAAAGCCCGCGTTTCTTCTTCCGTGCTGTTCGGTTACCTCATCGATGCCCGGGTAGTCGAGGGTAGTCCCATTGATCCGCGATTGTCACGGTGGACACTTTCCGGTCGAAAATCGAAACGGCAGCATGTGTAGGCAGGAACTTGGACACGCACACAATGGAACGGCTTGAGTCCCTTGTCCCCGTTGACTGACTTCCAGTCGCTACCGTAATCGCCCGGCATCAATCTTAAGGGTAGGGAGTGTCGACCTTCATCGAGGTCGCGGCTCGTTCGCGGAGTTAATGCAAATTGCGCGCGGGAATCTTACGGGTAGTAATGAGGGGTGGCTCCCTTGATCGTCGGTTATTTAGCGATGGGGCAATTTGCAAGCCGCATTATTAGAAAGCGGTAGACCCCAGGTAAAGGGATATCCTTGCAGTCGCGCGATCACATGGTCGGCAAATGCTTCATCTCCGGCCACATTTTGTTGCGGAACTATAGTAATTTATGTCCTATTCGTTACTTTCTTTGCGTCAAAAAAATTGATAAATTGTTTTTGCATCGGGGGCGCCTTCAAATTAGCTGCGTCGATAATGGTTGTCTTATCGATTTCAGAAATATTTAGTCCTTAGCGGATCACAATCGAGGGAATTCATTTCAAGATAGTGTATCAGTGTACGATATTTATGCTGTTCCTATCGAAAAATTGAAACTTTTATAATGTAATATTTTAACTGTTATTATATTTGCCGCTAATAATAAGTTGAGATATTATTACTTGTAATTATTTCGTAAGGCTCCTTTGCAAAGCTCATTTACGTTAGCTAATTATTGTTATCTTCGAAATATACTGTTAAACCTGCAGACGGAAAGTTAGCGTATAACATAATGATAAAGCTAATTAAAAGTTCACAAACTCGAGTGGAAATAATCCTTTAGCGTCAAGTCGATGTGCGGTTTAGCGTATTCGATGTTTAGATTAATTTTATAGCAAGTTCTCGACTACTTCTGTCTACAGTTACGAACTGTTTAGCGTTTTAAAATAAAGCGACGGGAACGAAAGAAAAATAATTATAAGCTCTGGTAGAAATATTTTACTGAAAATATAGTGAAATTTTACTGAAATATTTTGTGAAATCCCTCTCAATTGATCCCGTTTTATTATCGTTTTATCAATATTTTCAGTAAAAATCCAATGAAAAATCATTTTCGTTAAAAAATAACACAGTTTTAGTTAAACTCGGTAGGTTACGTAATATCCGATATTTCAGATTTCTTTTTTATTACACTTCAACAGTGCGCTTAAAATTTTCTTATATTTCACAATGTTACCTTAAATTTCGTAAGGAAAATTACGATTCATTTGGAGACATATACGGTCACTAATTGTTCGATAACTTTCAGTTACTTTTCATCAATTTCATAGTACTTTCGGCGAAATATTTCCATCGGGGCCGCCATGGGGAGGTTTAAGATTTTCAACTTTCGCTCAAACATCGCAGCCCGCTGTCAGTCGATTTCAATCGATGGCCGAAAGCAGGAATAATTTGGCGATAATACATGAACATTAGGAACACACGCTGCGTGACCGCGAGGCGTTCCCGTTTAACGTGTTGCAGTTATCGCTACGTCGTTAACATTCGCGCAAAAAGAGCTCGTATACCTTGACCGGGCGCCGCCACGTTAATGACACGTGTAACGAGATAAGGTAACGTAGGTGCACATACTATGCCCGCCATAAAAGCCGGTAGTCTATCGCGACGAGGCGCTCGCCGAGTAGCGCGTACTTATTGTTAGATACTTACGAGCGAACGAGGAGAAGAAGAAGAGAGAGAGAGAGAGAGAGAGGGGGGGGGCAGAGAACGAGGAGGAGCGTGAAAAAGTCCACGTTCGAAAAACGGGTTTGCGGTGCCGCGGGTGCTGCCGGGTGCGTTGTAGTTTATCGTCGGAATCGTGTAGCACGTTACGGTACACCGCGATCATTAGCAGCTAGAAGCCGCCTGCTGCCGGCGGGAAGGCTGCACGATACTCTCTTTGATATCCACTCGGCGTACCGACTCTTAACGCTGCGGCCGATTCACGGAACCTCCGCAGGGCCCGTGGCTCCGATAGAGACGGGGAATGGAGTAGAGTAGAAATTTATTATATTTCTTGAAATAATCCTCCGTGTGAATTAAGCGGGGATAAAATCGGTGATACATTAGCAGCAAAGACGCGCACACGGTGAGGTGACAATTTATAGCGTGGAAATGTGGAAAATTGATTAAGATGAAGTTTTTAGGGATAGAAAGCGGAATATTGAAACGCGCAACAACGGATAATTAATTGACTAATCGATTAAGGTAGATGTAATGAGAGAGAGAAGACTGCTTGTTGAATTTGTTAGCGGACAGTGAAGAAGATTGTACAAAGTCGAAAACGTAGTAATTGTATAATCGTCGATGACGTAAACGGAAGAATTAAAAACACATTGCAAGTTAGTGAAAACTTGGGAATAAAAAATTGAAGAGAAAAAAAGAGGAGCAAAGTTTATCGATAAAGGTCTAGATGGAGCGTATTCATAAATATTAAATAGA